CGTGTATAGCAACTGGGGAAAAGCTAACTCTAAAAAAGCAAAAGTTTAGCATTCTGGTTTATTTATAAGCTTAAGTCAACAGTTGACCGTAAATGAGCGGTGCATTGAAAACCACTTGAACAGATGTGGGGGTTGATACCACGTTGATGGCAGAGGTGGGGGGTGGGGGCAGTCGCGTGTGTGGGTGGAAGAGGCAGAGGCCAGGAGGAGTCAGTCGGACGGGCACCACCCGTGCCATGGGCTGCGTCGTCACTGCTCACGTGCCTGTTGAGATGAGGTTAGGGACCTGCCTCCCCGGCTTAGTTGGGGACACCACTGAAAAGCGGGTCAAGTGAGACAAATGGAAAACACTCGCTAGAGGAAGAGAACTGTTTACGGTGAACAGCCTGTGTTAACGGCACAGCCTGAGACCCCACAGCCTCTGGGGCAGCTCAAAGGCTGGACCGTACCTGCTCCGCTGCCGATTTCCCAAAGGGTCCTCGGATGCCACCCAGCTCCAACTCCAGTCTACCGATGACAATATCACGGTCTAGGGGATGTGACTGGCCCAGGACCACAGCTGAGTGTCGGAGCCTGACGAGACCCAGGCTCCCCTGCGTCCAGTGGTGACATTTTCCTTCAGAACCACACCTGGCCTGTTGACTTGTACATGCTGCTTTCTAGCCCCAGCTTGCCACACGTCTCATTTAGCTAATTTACGGCTCCGGACTGCAGACTGAATTACAGCTATTTGTTTCCCTTCCCTGGCTGCAGTGCAAGCTAACGAAAAGCAGGCTTCATTAATTCCAGTGCTTATCACCGAACAAGGTATTAACAAGCGTTTAGATGATGCTCCAGCCATTTAGTGTTTTTGAGAAGGTGAAAGGGCCTCTGGTCCATATGGTCTAGCTTCTCGTACATTTTCCTTTCAGACGCAGAGGCTGACAGACCTGCCAGGAGCAAATGGGGGTGGTAGCTGGTATTTAATTAATCTAACACGAGTCACAGCCCATTTCACGAAGTCAGGCGCCAAGTCTTTGCCTCTACCAACAGTCACATTTAGGACATCAACTCACGCTTTCTCTCTCAGCCACTTGGCCTTGCGATGTTCTTGTAGGCAGTGGGAACCTACCACTTCTCCCTTTCCAGGCAGGTTTGTAAGCCTAAGCATGCTCTCCCCTACTCTTTAATACGCTAATGAGCCACAGGATACCAATAACACAGAAATAAGAAAAGGATCTTAAACTTGCTGCTTTATGACTTTCTGAAAGCAGTGACATCACTGTGTGAATACTACAGTCAAGGCTGGCTAGGTTGCGGGTTCTCGTGGCTTGAGAAGCACCAGGCGGGGATCTCTGCCGGCAGAGACTTGAACCCTAGCTGGCTGGACTTGTCGTCCCAAGAAAATCATCCCACCAACCTGTGCCTCAGTGTCTCCAGCCTGAGATGCGGATGATCTGACACCTCACCTCTACTGTCACCCACACGTACGTGGAATTTACCAGCTGGAATGGCATGCGGTACAGGGTTAGAGCACTCAGGGCCGATCAGCTGTGTTAACACAGCCTCTCCTCAGGGCTCACACAGCACCTATAATGAAAAAGGAAACACGGTAGGGACGCCTACATGGCTTAGTTAAGCGTCTGACTCTTGATTTGAACTCAGGTCATGATATCGCAGTTGTGGGATCAAGCTTGGTGTTAAGCCCTGCGCTGAGTGTGGAGCCTGCTTGGGATTCTCTCTCTGCCCCTCCCCTGCTTGTGCTCTGTCTCTCAAAATAAGTAAATAAACATTAAAGAAAAAAAAAAGAAATATGGGAATATGCTGTGAAATTCATTTGACAGGGTTTCTCGAAGACTTGCTGTGAACAAGGATGAAGTAAAATTTTAAAGGTGAGACAAACAAAAAAGTTCTACTCCTTGAATATGTTCAGAGTTAGAAATCCACCGGCAACAGGTCTACTTAAAGGGCATTTGGCTGAAAGGTGAAGTATGTGGGAAGTTGCCAGAAGTCTCCTTGGCTAAATTCCTCAGGGTATGATTTATCTAAAGGTAACAGATGTCAAGGAGCACCTTGAGAATATGCAGCAGATAAATACAGAAGAGGACCCTTTAAAACTCAGTAAAGTGGTAACGGGGCGCCTGGGTGGCTCAGTCAGTTAAGCGACTGACTTTGGCTCAGGTCATGATCTTGCAGTTTGTGGGTTCGAGCCCCGCTTGGGACTTTGTGATGACAGTGGGGAGCCTGCTTGGCATTCTCTCTCCCTCTGTCTCCACCCTCGTGCACTCTCTCTCTCTCAAAATAAATACACTTAAAAAACATTTCAAAAATTATAAAATTTAGTAATGTGATAACAAAGAATTTCAGAGGTGGCCAATGCAAGTCCTCTGCAGGTGCAGGTAGGAGCCACGAGGTATGGATGAGTAACTTCCGGAACTCCTTGGACTAGGTATTGCACCAAGTGGAAAGCACCACTTCACCGAGATAATTTTTATTAAAAAAAAAAAAAAAATTACAGAAAGAACAAAGAATTAAAAGAATTTTAATAAAATCAACAAGTTTACATTTGTACATCTTGTGTATTTGGGACCCGGCCAGGGGTGAAGGATAAAGTTGCAAGGACAAAAGTTTCCGTAGGAGAGCAAGCGAAAAGCAAGGGCTACCCTCGTTGTGCGACGGGCATGGGTTTGATGGTGTGACCCCATGGCCTCCTGAGCTGCTCTGCACTCACCAAGGTCATGGGCAGGAGGCATCCTGCTCTGAGCTCAGGCCCAATGCTCCACACCCTACAAGACACGCCCATATGAACACCTGCGGGGCAACAGCAGAGAAACAGTTCATAAAATCTAACAGTATTGCCCCTCAAATATTAATGCCAACTGGGTTCGGCTCATGCTGTTTTAACTAGAATGGTTACACGGAACCTAATGAGGGGAGAAAAGGGCTGAGCAATGTTCTAATTGTTCCACTCAATGGCACAGTCACAAAACAGCAGGCCTTTAGAGAGAACTATGTCTTTTAAAAATCTGATTTGCAAAAAAGGGCCCGTGGACGTCAGAGAAAGAGGAGAACGAGGTACGGTTCTGAACACAGGAGGCCACTCAGCTTTAATCCCCGTCATTCTAAAGGATGAGAAACGTTTCAAAAAAAAACGACCAGTGTTCGGAGAGAGCGGAGACTAGTGTCCCCAAGTTAGGAATGAGCAATCACAAGGTGCTCTCAAGATTTTACCCACGTCGTGTCCAGCGAAACAGCGCTTTCGGAAGCGTGACACGGTACGGGCTAGGGGCTTGTTCTTGGAGGAATAAACACGAGCTCGTGAGTTGTAACCATAACGTGCACAGTAATATGACCATCCTGGAACAGTCATCCACAGGGTCAAGCTGTCAAACTCATGACCGGACTTGGGCTTCATCCCCACGTAAGCAGTGTGTGGCGGAGTTGCAAGAGTTTCTTCATTTATTCTTTAGACGGAGACACAGGGAAGAATGCGGAGGCGCCTTTGCTTTCTTGGGCCACTCGGAATCACAGAAGGATGAAGAATACTGACCATTATTAGTACAGGAGAGCACTGTTCAGACAACGGACAAGGAGCGCTTCACCCCCGCTCTGTGAGGCCTGGGCCGACGGAGAGAGGCTCTGTTCCAGGGTCCTCTCCTGGGACACACGAGCTAATGCTTGTTTCCCTAATGCTACAGCAGGGGGTACAAGTGTCTAGTGTTAGTTCTTAATAGAATCATTAATCCCAACGATGAAATTCAAAACAGGGCAGCGAAGGAGGGACGGCTTCGGCTCCTCCACGACGTTAGGCGGAGACACAAAATGACTCAGTCTGTGGTGAACAAGAGGGACTCCTCCTGTGAGTTCAGGAAACCTCAGAGCAGGCGTGTAAAGTGCTGGGAGGTAAGGCAGCCTGACTGGACTTCCTCATCGGGGTGTGCAGAAGCACCCGGCAGGAAAGATGACAGACATCTCGGTCACGGGGGAAGGCAGCTGTCACCGCTGCCCGTCCTGCTGAGGGTGTGAGGTTAAAACTGGCCTCTCCTGAAGTTCTGCTCGGCTTGTGCTCGTAACGCTTCCCTTTTAATTTCCCGAGTGTTCAGTAGGAGGTACATTTTAACAAGGAAAAAAAAAAAAAAATGTCCCTAACGGATATGACGGATGAATTTCTAAACAAGAGAAAAACTGCAGAGATGACAGAACTTCAAATAAAACTTTTTAGTCAAACACGTCAATTGCGGAGTTTCAAACTGGCAGGTGTTGTGACAGTACAGGGACCGAAACCTGGGCCCTCACCTGCCACAGGTCTCCCGTCCACTGTCCTCTTACAGATGGGGCGAGCGGCTTCTCTCTTGGGGCTACACCGTTTTCCGACAGGTCCTCACTGGCGAGGCAGCCAGAAGTGTACAAATTCCCCCGAAAGGGGGTGCTCGGGTAAACAAGGCAGAATCCTTTAGGGGTTGAGAGTCACACGGGAAGTAGAAAGAACCAAAAGATTTCCCCAAGGTCAGCTAAGGGCAAAGGCGGAGGCCACGAGGTAATCCTGGAAACAGACAGCCCCCCTCCCCCCCCCAACCCCTGCTCGCAACCGTGCGGCTCCTCACCCTGCCGAGCGAGCTTTTCATCCCTGTGCCGCCCTGGAGCACGTTCCCAGTGCAAATGCACATCTGGAGACTAGGGCACCGGAGTGGGGGAATCCAGGATGTCCACACTGCAGAGAGAAGGCTCATTTTTCTCTCAAAGTAGGCATTCGTTTTGGATTACAAAGTACCGGGACGGGCGAACCCTAACATGTCTCTATTTGTGGGATTTTCCATTTACATTCAATGTAGAGTGGTCAGCAGTGAAGAGCCCCTGTTTCACGCTGACCGACGTCTCCCCAGCACCCAGATGTCACCCCTTCGTCCTGGCTGGCACAAGTGCAGCGGCTTCTGCTCTCTGCACCCAGCAGGCTTGGTAAAGAGCTCAGGGTCCTTCTCACGCCCTCGGGTGGGCCTCCTCAAGTCCGTGCGCCAGGGCCGGGGGGGCTGGGGTTCGTGTGTCTGCCGGCAGCACAGTGGGTGTGGACGAGACCACCATTTGGATACCTAACAAACACGGGCTCACGAAAGGGATTTTGGCACATCTGGCAGAGCTTTTTGTCCGAAAGCCGAACTGAGCTTCCTTTCAACTTCATCTGCAAAAAAAAGACCGAGGACACTGTCAGCTAGAGTTATACCAGTTTTTCAGAGTGGACGCGCGTTACCCCATGGATGATTGTTACTCATGAGGACTGCTTTAACGTCCATTTCTTTGAACAGAGTATTAGAGGAGGGGCACCTGGGTGGCTCAGTCGGTTAAGCATCTGACTTCGGCTCAGATCACGATCTCACAGTTTGCGAGTTTGAGCCCCATATCGGGCTCGGTGCTGGCAGTGCAAAGCCCGCTTTAGATCCTCTGCCACCCGCCTCAAAAATCATAAACAGTAAAAAAAAAAAAAAACACCAGAATATTAAAGGTGAAAATAAACAAAAACGTCCCTAGGAACTGGAGAGATAAAAAAAAATGCTACAAAACTGCTTTCTTATTTTATGAAAGTAACTGCTGCTCGCCGGCCACGGGCATTTCTAAACAGGCCCTCTCTCCAACGTTCTCTGAGCTCTGTGTTTGAGCCAATGCCTGTTGGAAAGTCATGCCATGTTAGGGCTGAATAAAGCTGTGTAAATCATCCAATTCCTTGGCCCTCTCATTTGCAAACAGGGAATGTAAGGCACAAATAAGGGACTCCATCAAAGCCATATGGTTCATTCATGGCACACTCCTGCCTGGTCCTAGAAAACATAATTTCATTTGTTTAAAGGCAGCGAACAAAACCGGGCTGTAACCCCCTCAGTTCTGCGAGGTAAAAAGCCTTTTTGCACCGTTCACTGGTGTCAACCCAGGCAACTCTGCCTACCGGCAGGACCAATTACCAATTCAGTGAATTCACCCTGTACTCATTAGTTTCATCAGTCACTCAACAAACACTTATTAAACACTTTTGAGATGCCAGGCTTGGCTCCAGGGATACTGAGATACACAGATGAAGTTCTGTGCCCTCAAAGAACCCAGAGTCTAATGGTGAAGGGAGACAATTATGAATGCATGCCGGAATGTGCGGTGGGCGAAGGAGGGGAGTTATCTGCTTGAAGGGATATGAAGGTTTCACAAAGGAAAAAATACCGAGGCTGGGTTTTGAGTAGGCGTTCACCAGGCATAAAAGGAAAGGTTAGGACCATCTCAGGGGGCACCGCAGGTACGAAGCCTGTATGTATGAAGCAACCTATCACATCTGGGAGATTCCACATGTCCTGGGAAGCAGCAATAGACGGAAAGGGCCAGACCAAAGGAGAGGAGATGGAACCCTCCAGGCCTCAACTCCTCTACTGGGGACTCACGAAGGCTTCCACGGGGGAGGAACACATCGGGTTCCTGCTCTGGAAAGATCCCCCTGCCGGCTGCATAGAGTGTGGGTCTCACAAGAGAGAAGTCTCCAGAAAGGGATATAAACTGGGGACTGTCGGGGACGGAATGTTTGTATCCCCCTCTCCCAGCCCCTTCCTATGCAGAAGTTCTAATTTTCAATGTGATGTACTGGGGGCCTTTGGGAGGTGACAGAGGTTGGGTGAGGTCATGAGGGTGGGGCTCCCAGGACGGGATTCGGGCCGTGACAGGAAGATGTGTCCTGCTGGTGGGAATGCAAACTCTTGCAGCCGCTCTGGAAAACGGTATGGAGCTTCCTCAAGAGTGCAAAAACAATTCCCACACGGTCCGCTATTCCACTTGTGGGCGTTTCTCTGGAGCCCGGCTCTCACCTTGTCGTACTTGTAGATCAGGTTTTCGGATTTGGCCAGGCCGAGGGCCACCTGAGTGGTCCTCCGGGCGTGCACGCTGTCCCTGACGGCCCCGGTCAGGAACGGGCGCAGGAGCTGCACCGACCAGGTGCCCGGCAGCAGCTGCAGGACGCGGGCGGCGTCGAACTCGGCCGCGTGGTGGTTCAGGAGGTCCGTGGCGGCCACGGCCAGCTCGGGCACGGAGGGGCCGGGCTGGAGATACATGGCCAGCAGCGTGTGGAAGAGCCGCTGCCGGTACGACGGGTCTCTGCCCTCGGAGCGCCACAGGCAGTAGTCCTCAGCCGCCGAGAAGTCCTGCAGCTCGTGCACCAGGATGCGCAGGGCCTCCTCGTGCTCCTCCAGCTTGCCGTGCAGGATGGCGCTCTCCATGGGGAGGCCGGCGCCCCGGACTCTATCTGTGCGGCAGCAGCCAGCGGTTAGAGCCAGCCCCGGCTTGCCCCCAACCCCCGGGTGCTCTCAGCCTAAGAAGGGGTAAAGGGGAGCCGGCCACCTAGACGGTTCACACGAGGCCTGCCTGTACCTCCGTGCTGCAGATCTGGCGTCCCCGAAGGGGAGGCCGGACCCTACTTATAGGTAGAGCCTAACGGCAGAATACGTTATTTTTCATAATGCTTAGCGGCTGAAGGAAACAAATGACCTGTCATCTCAGCGGGCCCTGGTCAAACAGGGTATCACGGCTTCAGGCTTCTAATTAATCCAGCACTGTTCCCATTTTCCCAGTACGGGATCTTCAACCACAGTGGAAAGGCACTACGCTGACTTACGTTCTGACAAGAACCCCGCCCTGCCAAAAACGTGTGGCGAGCCCCTTTCTTCCAACTGAAAATACAGTTCACAGAAAGGAGTATGGGTCCCTCTTGTTAACCATCCATATCGACATTACTCTAAAGCTGTTGTGTCTCCTGCAATTTAAGGTGCCAGGCTACGAGCAACACGACACCACCACAGAAAGTTCTGACCGAGGCCCTGCCCGCAGCGGGCTGTGTCTCACTGGTAGAGGCCCCTTGTTTTCCGCTCCCTCGGCAACCGAGGAAGGTAACGTCAGATCTCTTCCTGCTGTAGAAGGATGTTCGAGGGACAGCTCCTATTTCAGAGGCCAACATTAATACTGGGATTCTGGGCATTCGGACTTAGGAGCGTGGCCACACTCCGGCCTGAGGCACACGGCAGACACCCGCAGCAAATGGCTGGTTCCACAACATGTGTCACCTACAGCACTAAACACAGAAGCTGCAACGTGTATCCTTGTCATCCTCACAAGGAAAGGTCACCAAATAATTGCTAAGTGGCAACCACATGTAGGGCACGGGAGAGGCGCAGATTGGTTGAGAAAAGACCACGGCAGTGACTGCACTTTCCACATCTATCATCCCGTTTGTATTTGATTCTCGGCCACCCCGGGCGGGCAGGCTGCACAAGAAATGCTACTACAACGTGCCCAGGCTGACGCCGCCAAAGTCACCTAACGAGGGCAAAGAGTGAGTCTCTCAGCTTCCAGTGTTCTTCCACAGTGCCCTGGCGGACACCCCCTTTCCTGCAAGCTCCCCAGTCTTATCTGCAAGCCCTGGCTTATCTCTGTGACTGCTCAAACAGCGCCTTCTCCGTGCTCCCTCCCCTCCACCCCACGCAGAGCTGCTATCGGCCGCTATGTGCATGCTCATTAAACTGAAGGCCAGAACTGAGTGACATCCACCTTTATATCCTCGGTGCAGCGTCTGATACTCTACACATACTCACAGACGTTAGCTGACCGAGAACCTGATCAACAAGCCCATGACTAGCATGAGATTTGCACGAAGAGACTTGTAAAGCATGAAGCATGATGGACATCAGGGCTGACAGTAAAACTGTTTAACAACCATACAGCATGGGCATCGCCCAAAAAGCACGGACAGCGGCCGTGAGGGACCAGGGTGGCTGGCGAGCATCACGGCTGAAGGTCAGCCCCGGTGCAAACACAGGCCACAACGAGTTTCTGTGGTTCATGTGAGGTGGCAACCACCCCAGTCCACACTCTGGACCTACTGTCCGTGAGCTGTGTGACCTGAGGCAAGTTGGGTAACTTCTCTAAGCTTTGACACCCCCGTAAAAACAATAGTAAAAATAATTTTTAAAAACAGGACTTATTTCAGAGGGTCGTTGTGGAGAGCGTCCTAACGCACGCTAAGCATTCTGACCTGGGCCTGGTGTATACAGTCAGTCCTCATTATTCAGTTCTGTATTCGTGAATTTGCCTATTCACCAAAATTTATCTGTAACCCCAAAGTCAGCAGTTGTGGTGCTTCTACACTCATTTGCGGACATGCACAGGGCGGCACAAAATTCGAGCCACCTGACACGCATATTCCCAACCGAGGGCCCATAAGGTGATGCTCTGCCTTATTGTTGAAGCCCTCATTCAGTAAACGGTCCTCTCCATGGTGTATGCAGTGCCACGATTTTTGTGTTTTTGTGCTTTTTGTTGGTAATTTTGCCATTTAGAATGGGCCCCAAGCACAGTGCCCAAGTGGGGCCTACCGTTTCCAAGCACAGGAGGGCTGTGACGTGCCTTCCAGAAAAAATGTGTGTATTCAATGAGCTTCGTTCAAGCCTGAGCTAGAGTTCTGTTGGCCTTGAGTTCAATGTTAATGAATCAACAATACCTATTAAATGAGGTGTCTTTAAACAGAAGCACTCATAAAACAAGGTTATGTACTGATCAGTTGACAAAAATGTGAGCAGAGGTTTGCAGGAAGCTGACCCTGTATTTCCTGGGTAGCACTGTTCAGGATTCAGTAATTTAATGTCTGTGGAGACTTTATAGAACATAACTACAGCGAATAATGAGAATCAACTGTAGTTATGGTCAAAAAACACTGCACATTTAAGGAGAAATACATTACTAATCCCAGTAAGGACCAATCTGAAAACTCTACTATGTCAAGCACATTGTGAATCTAGTTCATTCTACCAGGTGCAAGCACTATGCTGCTTTGTGGCACTTTACGCAACACAAAAACCGTGGGCTCTGCACCCCAAGGAAATGAAAACCAGGCTCCCATCCAAGACACCTGTGGCCCAGAGCTCACGGTTTGGAGCCTCGAGAAATCTGAGTGGGCTGCTGGGGGCGGTGCTAGCTGGCACAGCCTCGCCCAAACGCTGGTGCCATCAGAAGGAACTGAGAATCAAGCGGGCCGAAGAGGAATAAGGCAGTCTAGTGAAGGTAGGCTCGACAGATAAGCGGCCTTCCAACCCCCGCCCTTCCCCGCCACCGGCAGCTTTGTGTCCCTGGCTAAAGGGCCAACGTCCCTTTCTAGAAGGTGGAGGCCTGAGAGGCTTCGCCCCACCCTCCAAGACGGCTGACTTTGTGCCAGAAGAGGCCCAAGGAATCGCCCCATCAAAACGAGGAGCTATGGCAGAGCCTTCATCCGCGCCTGCCAAGGTGAGCAGGTCAAGGAGAGGCTGGCGGGATGCTGCTCACCTATCAGGAAGTGGACTCGGTACAAATCAGACTTCTGGAGCAGGTGTCGCAGCTTCGCCTGAGTCTCCGTCGCTTCCGCACCCTTGCTGTTGGCGCCGGACCGCCTCTGCTGCAGCACCTCGTCCAGGTAGAGGAGCGCCAGGCGTGTGTGGTACTCTTCCTTCTGCGGGAGATGACGGCGTTGGCACGTTGGCAGGCGGGAAGCCGGAGCGCTCCCAGCCAGCGGGTGCTCCCGACACCAGGCCTGCGCCCAGGCGAGCCAGGGCAGGGGCTCGAGGGCACTGCACGGGACATATTTGTTGGATCGGAAACATCTCAGAAACCGCCAATACGGGGAAGGCAGACTTAAACTCTGGAGCAAAATATAAAAGGGTCACTTCTCATCTGAGAAGGGCCACGGGATTTAGGCGTTTCCCAAAAAGGTACGGCTCCTCTCATTTCCCTTGAGGATAGTAACAAAGAAGGAAAGGAGACAAAAAATAGGAGCTGGATGGATACAAGATGGAGGGCAAAGAAAAGGCGACATGCCTCTCCTTCATTAGCCTCCGGGCCTCTAGACCATCCACGAGCACGGACTGAGCATCCGGGGAGCAGGGCATTTAAACTATTACGTTAGAACACCGAAAACATCTACATTTAAGATATTACATTAGAACCATCTGCCAACACGCTTTCCGGTCAAATTCTCTCTCTTAAGTTACTACTAGGACATGGCAGCCCTGCTCGTGGTAGTCCAAGTTCAAAAGCGCTCACCTGCAGTCTCCTGTCTATGACCAGATGTTCCAGATACTTAACAAGGGCTTTAGGGTATTTCTTAAGGCAAGTGATAATGCTGTCGGGATTAAAACTGTTCTGCTGTTCATCCAAAGGTCTCCTGGTGAAAACTTGAACTCCAACCTGAAAGGAGAATAGTAATTTAGCTATTTCCTTCTCCGGATGCCATCTTATGTTTATTCTAATCGATGGACATTTATGTCTGGGGAAAATTGTTGTCAAAAACACGGAGATACAGCAACACAGTATGGGGTGGGGCACTGGCAAAGTCCAAAGAGCACGGCACAAAGACGGGAAACCTCATACACCTCATCGGAATTTCTCCTAAAAGGGTCAGAAATTAGGGGTGCCTGGGTGGCTCCGTCGGCTGAACGTTTGACTTCAGCTCAGGTCATGATCTCACAGTTCGTGAGTTTGAGCCCCGCATTGGGCTCTGTGCTGACAGCTCGGAGCCTTGGAGCTGCTTCAGATCCTGTGTCTCCCTCTCTCTGCCCTACCCTACTTGCGCTCTGTCTCCCTCTCTCAAAAAAATAAACATAAAAAAAAAAAAATTTAAAGGCGAGAAATTAAAGAATGAAACATTAATTAACCAGAGAGGCACCAACTCTGTAATATTAAGGCGATCTGCAGACAAGGATGGTCACTTGCTGGCCAGTAAGTGAAAGAACAAATACAGTACTGAACGTTCAGTAAACTGAGTTCTCTGCACACAGGGATCCACTATGTGGATCATCTGTGTAGATCCAAGGCCCGTCCCTGAGCAAGTTTCCAGACGGCCTTCCTGTGCCTGTTGAATGGAGCTCCCTGTGGCAATTCCATCTTCAACAGAAACGCTAATGGGTCAGGTAGGCAAATAAAGGCATACTATACTTCTCCTGGGCATTCTATCACACACATGTGCGCACACACACACACACACACAAGAAATACAGCACCGCTCTCCTGAGTGTGAAGTCTGAGTTCTATAAGCCTGGATTTGTGTCTGTGCTGTACCAACTATTCGACCTTGGGGAAGTTTCTAGAGCTGAGCTTTGCTCTCCTCATAATTCCCCCTTGTGGCGTTGTTGTGGCATTTGAAAGAAATGATACAGGTCGAGTGGCTGGCTCATCACCAGGCACACAGAATCCTGGGAATGACTTGCTGATACCATCTATTAGCATCGGGAGGAGCCCAAAGCTTTCAACCGTTTTGGATCCATGTTTCAGGTGTGCCTGAGTGTGTCAGGGTATGTTGTAGGTGTGTGTGCACAGAGGCCAAGTAAAGATGGAGTTAAAAGCACGTGAAGCCCATGGGCTCAGACCTCCCAGTTCAGAGAGTACCATGGAGAACATACCCCAGCTCGGATTTTTCAAAGGCAGATGTGACATGCAGAAAACTCTACGTTTAAGATGAAGGTCCCGAGTCAGGAAGCTAAGTTTCTCTCCTCCAAGGGGAACCAAGGAAATGTGTGTTTTTAACGGTGACGGCTGAGATGCTGTCTCTTTTCCAGTCCTCCAGCGGCTTCACAGAGGAGTCCTGAGCTTATGCGTTACTCCCCCCACACCCTGCAGCCAGCAGGAGTTTCCTCGGGGTGCTTCCTCACTGCTGCCCTTCCTCAGCCTCCAAGATGGCAAGTCCTGAGCAGGGCTCCCTCCTACCTCCAGAGCCACGATTGCCACGCCAGGGGGTGCGGCACAGAGACAGGACAAGGGTCTGCCTGGTGTGGCCCAGGCGGGGTACCACGCCCTGCAAGGCGACCATCTGATCCTGCGCCAGCCCACAGAAATCAGAAGGGTCATGCTTGGTCAGGCATGGGGGTTCACACACACGTTTTTCAGAAGATGCGAAGGAACCCCGGCCACGCTTTCTGCTTTTCTACAGAAGGGGCCTGCCCCACACTGATGTGCGGAACAGTGTATCTCAGAAGTGCTGAAATGCAGAACTTCCTAAGACTGGGCATTCCAAAGGCTCAAGATGAGCCATTAGAAGGGGAGGAACAACATGGACGGTTGTTGTTAAAATCAATCATTTAAAATCACTCCCCCCACCCCACCCCCCCCCAATGCATTTATGAAGCACAAACCTCCTCACTTTTCTGCAGGACCCAATCAGCGTACTTCCACACGAGTTCCTGGTCTAAGCTATAGGTAAGGAAATCAACGACATATTCGTATAGGTCTGAGCGAGTGGAGTCGTGAATGTCCCCGTTCACAATGTTCACCCATAACTGGAAAGGAGTAAAGAACAAAAAGAAACGGAAGGTTACATACCTTTCAGAATTACCTACGGAAGGGCACACATTTACTTATTTGGCCTTTGGATCCTTTAAAGTAGTAGGACAAATTTTAAACTTTGAAGGCCTAAACGAATTTTAAGCTTTTCAGAGGAATAAAGCAATATAGAAGACGGGGTCCAGGACATCAAGAAAATAAAGCACCAAATTATTTTTCTTTCCTTTCTAATGAGATCACAGTAATACGAATAGTAAACACAACAGGTGGAAAGACGCAGATGTATTAAAAACGTTTCTTCATGAGATAAAACGATCACTGACAGCATCTTGATGCAGACGAAACTTAACTGCCTCCATTGGCGGGGCTGTTTCCACCTTCCCCACCACAGGGATCCTGGACTTTGACGTCCTTTGTGGACCAGGAGGGTCAGACACTGTGCATTCAAAAATACTGGTGATTCTGTCCCCTAGTGCTCTGTCTTGTGCACAGGGGCTCATGACAGCTGCTAATAATAAAAGTCCCTTGCTATTTCATCCAGAAACTTCCCCGCTGTGTAAACCAAAGCTTACTTTCGGAAACCCGGGATGAGGCTGCATCACAAGGGAGTGGAAGAGATGACGGAGGCCCCTCAGCCTGTACCGCATCTCCTGGACCTCACCCACCTGCCCAGTGCGCCATACTTCAGGACCACACCACCCGCAAGAGGCCCAAGAAGCAGGGCTGCTGGTGTAGACTGTACTTCTGATATTAGCATATGAACCTTTCTTATGGTCCCAGTTTCTTCCACACTGTATTCCTCAAACCAAATAACCTAATCACACATACACGGAAACGTGTCATTTTCTTCACAGTAGAGTTCTGCCATATATAAAGATTTATTTCGTATCACTTGGATCTTGCAAACCCCACTCTATAGCCCCGCTGTTATCAAGCTATAATTCTTACAGCCATGTGTTTTACAATATAAAAACGTTATTCTTGACGCCCGAATCTACTCTTGGCCATTGGGTGTGTTGATAGAAACCTTTTTTTTTTTTTTTTTTTTAAACCTCATCTGCCATCAGGTTAATGACAGTGATTGCATGTGTAGCTTTGCCAAAGTCATAGGGCTGACGTTAGCCTGGGGACTACTGCCAATGTTCTCGGCCACTCTCAGAACAACAGAAAAAGAATGATACCAGTGCATACCAAGTGACAGAAGGGGAGAAGGTCTCCTGACAGTGTGAGATGACGTTTGTCACAAGGCGTGAGAGGCGAGACGAGACAGAGGAGACTAGGGATTGATGCCTTTTTATCTCAGGTGCAGTATCCCTGCCAGGGCCACCTGGAATCGTGGTTCAAATCCCTGTTCTACCACGGAGCAAGGCTGTGACCCTGGGCCAGTGACTGGCCTTGATCAGCTTTAGTTCTGTCACAGGTGACATGGGGATAATGATTTACTCTCCCCAGCGGCAACGGTTAGTGTCATTAACGGCGGAGGTTATAAATAAGCTGATATTCGCAGGCTTAGTTTTCGAATAAGGCAGTGGTGCCCCACGCCTTGTGGCTCAGTAAGAAGTCGTATTTTTAGTTCTTAAATTTTCAAAACTCAATCTTGATAATGTCCTCGAAAGAGACGTAAAGACAAGGAAAAGAAAGCCCTTGGCTGACATTAGTCAAGGAGGTCACTTTCTAAAACAGTTGTTGTTCTTACTCTGTAAAAAGGGGTGTAGACCGGGCAAAAGCAGCCTCCGCCAACTTGGGAAGCTCCTCCCCAGGTAACACGGAGCTAAATGACAGAGGTTTTTAAGTAATGCTGAAATGCTTTTGCACTAACCTGCACGGCCGCAGCGTCTTGGTTATTATAATGATAGAGCAGTCCAAGTGCAAAATACCTGAAAGGAGACACCGCGTTAAGTGCACCCTCTTCCGCCAGCGGCTGCGGGTGGCGCCCACCCAGCAACAGCCTCCCCGCGCCCCCCCGCCCCCCGCCCCTCGCCCCGGTCCCTCGTATTCGTATTGAGTTCAACAACAAATTTCCAAGGACAAAAAGATCCTCATTTCTGTTTATTTACTTCGGGTGTGCAAACGTATGCCCCCTCAACTTCCAAAAAGGATCGTATTCAAGTCTAGCATAAGCTGAAAAATAAAACAGTAATTGTGCTATGGAAAATCGTGTTTGGAATGGCTTCACAATTTCCTCAAATGTTAATACGATTCTGTATCTTTTCAGATAATCACCGTCAACCATCACAAGGTATTAAAAGAGTGGTCGGAAAGTGTGCCGTCTGAGCTATTACGGAAAGAAGGGGTAAGGAGTCTGAATACGAACGACAGCAATACGGGCCAAGAGCACCCAGCCACCGCGGAGGACAGCAGGGAGGAGGGGTGAGCCCTGGGAGAGGGCACCCAGGGTTCTAGGCCCTGAGCTTCAATTCAGGTTTCATGACTTAGGGCCTCCATGGCCTTGAGCAGGTGGACTGTCTCCACCACTCATTTTCTCCCTCGTGAGTGGAAAAGACTAGCGATGGCACTGACACTGCCCAGGTGGTGAGCCGTTCCAGCCTCCCAAGTTCCACTGGGGTGTCCTGCTCCCGGTCATCCCCCTCCCCAGCTGGGGACTGGCAGAAGCCAACACAGGGGGATGCTGGATTTCTTCCCTCCGAGAGCAAACTCGTAAGATAACGAACTATTCGCCGGTGCCCTCCTCTCTTCCTTAGCCTCTCAGGCAGTTACCCTGTCTGCTCCCTACCATTCCAAGTCACCACCACGAGGCATCAGTGTTATTTTCTGGTTCTGAAACAAAATAACGCCCTCCCATAGCGTGTTTGGGAAACTGAGGGAAAGTGCCAGGAGGAGCGAACACCCACGCTGAGGCCGATCACAAGCCCCGAGTTGTCTCCGGCATTTGAATGGGATCCAGCACTGTAACCCCTGTGGTTTCCGTGGGATTTCGTCAGTACTTCTGCTACTTCGAATACACAACAGAAACCACAGATAAAGCATCTTACTGCTTGCAGGACTCTAGGGATCATCCAACACTTTTGAAGAAAGCCCTCTCGCACCTGCCCAGAATGAAGACGACACGGGCCCTTCTTCCCACGTCAGTCACTACAATTAACCGCCCTTGTGCGTATGGCAAGGGGCGGCTGCCTACCATCTCGTGCTCATAATAAAAGCAGAGTTTTAAGCCATAAACTTTTACCAACAAGACCAAGTCCCCCTTTTTATTTATGCGGATGTCTATCTATCTGTGCAATCCGGTCATCAATGACTCGAGTGTGCTGCTGATTTTACCAACACACACGTGGCGTCCTGCGTGGGTGAGTTCTATGTGCAACGCTATGGATATGAAGGCTCAGAATCACTTCCTTTACTAACTGGGCCTCTGACTGGCTGGGGTCAGCATCATTAAAGAACTGGTATGAGACCTAATGCCTTCCAAGACCCTTCCGGTTGGTCTGCAGACTGTGCCGGGGGCATCTACCCTGAGGGGCACTGGGCTGTCGCCACGGTGTCACAGGGGTCCCGTGACGAGTCTCCGCTTCCCAACAGCCTCCCTGTGGTGGCGGAAAGGCCAGCAGGCGACCCCTGGCCGCGTGTGGGGAGGGAACGCTCACTTCTTGTGCTTCTCCAGCCAGGCAGCACTGTCCGTCAGAAGACAGGAGTTCTCGGTGACCAGGAGGTCCAGCAGACTGTCGTGGTCGGCCTCCGCGTACAGCTTGAGCAAGGCCGTGTCGATGTCCTCCTTGTAGCCATTTGCGACCTCTGTGCTGCGGACTTCGTTCAGGTAGCTCATGAGGAAGCGCTTACACTTGGCCATCTTCTCCTGGTCCCCCTGGGTCAGCTGGTTCAGGTCTGCATACTCGTGGAGAGGAGGGTGGGACCGTGTGAATGAGGAAGAGGTGGGCAACAGGAAGGGGTAGAGAGAGATCAGCTCCCGGACATCAAGCTGGCCGCTTCTGCAATTACAGTGTCAAACTAAATGAAGCAAAAAGAGAGAGAGAGTACACATAGGCACACAAAACAACACGGGGGGGGGGGGGGGGGGGGGGCGTGCACGCCCGCACACGTTAACGGGGAGCTGGATGTGTGGGGGAGCACGTCAGAGCGAGCGTCCGGATGCGCGAGCCCAGCAGAGCACTGCCGAGGGGAGTGCCACCACGCGATTCCGACAGCAGAGAGGGGACCACGGCGAGAGACACACACGCCCCCCTCCAGTGCCGGCATGCAACATCAAGACACCCGAGGCGGTCCCAACACCAAGGGAGCGCCGGACTCCCTGGAAACCGAGGCCAGGAAAGGAACGTGAAGGGAACACGTCACTGTCCGGTCAAAGGCGAAGTACAGTCCGACGTTTCTCCTGGCACAAACTATAACCAGGTGTGCTGCACGGTCCACAAAGAAGGGACTTTGCGAGAACATGACTTACAACATCCCCTTCAGAGATCTTCTAATAGGAGCCGCGAGAGCATTTGTGAGGCCGCATCCGTGGTGACTCTCGACGGCCTCTCAGAGCATAAGATGAGGCTGCGGCTGAAATGGCCAGTGTGGTGTCCTACCCTCGGAAGGCCAAGGGAGCCCATCTGGTGACATCCCACCTCAGCTTCACCACTGACCCTGTCCCCACCGCGCCTGCTCATCTTGTCCACAACAAGCCAGCGGTGGCATTACCGAGCTGCGGGCCTCAACCTTGGCCCAGAAGCAGCCCTACCTGTGGTGCCCCTCTTACAGAAACAGACGCAGGGCCGCCAGACATGAATGGGAACCTCAGGTAGGGCCCAGGGTCTACACTTTCTGCGAAGTTCGCTGCGTCCGCCTTCCTTCAAGCTGAGTCTCCTCCTCCCCAACTTCCGGCCTCTGGCCCTCCTTTCTTCCACTCCTGCCCTCTCCCCACTTCCTGCGGTTCTGGGCCTCCCCAGGATGAACGTCAGACCCCTGAGCTCGGCATTCAGGGCCCTTCCTAGCTGCTCCCGATGACCTTACAGCTTTGGCTTCCACTGTCCCTCTCATGTTCCGAGGCTTCAACGCCACCTCATCACCTCTCCAGTTTACACACTTCATGACTCTCAGCCTTTCCTGTGTGTTCCCTCTGCCTAAAGCAACGGTCCTCCAGGGAAGCAGTTTTGCTCCCTGGGGAAGTTAGCAATGTCTGGAGATACTTTTGGTCACCACTGGAGGGTGCTATTGGCACGCAGTGGGTAGAGACCAGGGCTCCTCCAATGCACGAGAGTGCGCCCGTAACAAATTATCCAGCTCAAAAGGTCATGACTGCATGACTCCATTTGGGAAGCTTCTCACCATTTGAGATCCGGCCAAATCCCGATCCAAGCCCGTGCTCTGCACTGTCCCCCAGAGCACCTCCACCCACACCATGGAGCCGCACCTGCACTGCCCAATAGGCACACAGTCAGATTCCAGACTTGTATGGGCAGGCCGTAAAAGCCGGGTGCAGCCTTACCCTGCCGCTCTGGCTCTGGGGCTTGGGCCAAGTGCTGGCCTGACTGGACACAAGGACAGGCTGTGTAACATCTAGAGAAACAGACACAGAGCGTACGGACCCCCAGCGTGCCGACCATGATTGGCTGGCAGTTGGGGCTTCTAGCACTGAACTGAGAAGGAAATCTGAGGACATGTCCCACACCAATGAGAAAAAAAAATTCACATTATTAGCAACATCTGTCATGGACACAGGAAGGGAAAGTGGAGTCACGTCTGTCTTGAAGTGTCTTCCTCAAGTGTCAATTTCCTCGGCCACGCTTGTCTTTTTTATTAATTTTTGAGAGAGAGAGAGAGAGCGCGTGAGCAGGGTCAGGCGGAGGGGCAGAGAGAGAGGGAGACAGAATCTGAAGCATATGCAGGCTCTGAGCTGTCAGCACAGAGCCCGACGTGGGGCTCGAACCTACGAACCGAACCGTGAGATCATGACCTGAGCCAAAGTCAGACGCTTAACTGACTGAGCCACCAGGCACCCCTCAGCCACACTTTTGACAAAAACTGAGCAGCAGTCAATGTAAACCAGTAAGAGGCTGAAGCATGAAAGACAGGAACCTTCTATTAATGACTGACAGGCCCTACACGAGTCTATTACAAAATCCACGAACTCTTCTATGAATATATTGTGACCATTCGCCCACTGTTGCAAATTAACCCAAGAAGAAAGATGTACCCGTGACCCAAGTGAGGAGGTTTTCGACACTGCAGGGACAAAGCAGGCAGGATGGAAAAGCGCCCAGGTCCAAAGGGACAAAGAATCTATTTAAGCCCCGAAGTGACTGATCCTGCCAGGAACCGATGGTAACAGCACACAGAATTTACAAAGTGTAAGCTACATTGGGCATCGTGATTCGCTGAGTGGTTCCTTCTTTACTCAGATACCTGCTCCTACAACCAAGCATGTGCCAGAGGAGGAGGCCGGAGCTGTGGCAGGTCTGATGCCTGACAAAACAGCGGTGCCCTGCTGTGGTTGTTACTTGGATGTGAAGGACCTCTTCCGGTGCTTAGCACACATTTTATCTTTTAGAAGGTTCCAGACTACACAGAATCTATTCTAGTTAGACATTTCGAAACGTATGTCCCAAGTTGTTCTTATGAACATTCTCCTCGTGAAGTCTTTGGAAGGAGTTTTCATGAGTCTTCCCAGAAGCACCCGCTCTTTTCCTAAGCTCCCTGATTTCCTGTGAAATCTCCAAAGGAAAGGAAAAGTGGGCAACAGTATTTTCCTAGGAATTCTTCACGTTATTAAATTCACTCTTCGGGATTCCCTTCTCCTCTCTTCGTGGGATTGTTAGGGGCATGCCCTCGTCAGCCTCTGCCCTCCTCAGGACACAGGGCAAGTAAACTGAGGCTAAGGGGTGGGGGCGAGGAACGAGTGTTGGTGATGGCTGCCACTGTCAAGAAGCCTCACCACTTCCCCGTGAGGCACAAGCTAAGCGCGGCGACATCTCCCATCATGGCCACACAGTCTAGGTGAAGGTTTTGACCACAGAGAGACACACAGGAGGGCTTGCTACCAACACCTCAAATTACCTGAAGAGCTCTTTAGCTTCCAGAAACTGAAGTTGTGCGAACTGTATGAACCCCGCCTGCTGCAGAATCCTTCTGTACATTACCTGCAAGGAAAGACAGGTTTAATCTCTTAGATGTACCTTGAAACCAACGCGGTGGGGAGAAACTACCTTTCTAATCATAACCCAAGCTAGATGAGCTAGATGCTCATTATTACACAGAAACTGGAAGTTATAAGGTAAAGAGAAAACATGGCGTATATTAAATTGTTTTCAACATAGACGAAAATATTTGTGTGTGTGTGTGTGTGTGTGAGAGAGAGAGAGAGAGAGAGAGAGAGAGAGAGAATCACCCCTTTGTTCCTGAAATAAAATTGTTCTCTATTTGACCATTCTTCCTTCACCTTCCCCATGGATCTTTACTGTAAATCCCATTTCCTTCCCAAATGTGTTCTTTTATCTTCTGTTCTCCTCCTCCTTAGCTCACGGGGCTGCCGTGATCGCATCTCCTTCTGGCTGCTCACGGGGGTAATCAAGAGCTCCAGTGTCTCTGGCGGTCTGGGAGCAGCTCGCCCTGCTTCCATTGTTCTAGAGTTGACACTTCACTTCTGAGTATCCCCAGGGCACAGGGCCAATGCCAATCAATAAATGGATAAATGAACCAGTTTTCCTACTAAGCTGCGGAAACACTGCACATTTCCCTCTCCTGGAGCTGTAAGACCCACAGTCACACACTACAGCCTGACAATTCCAGCCATCAAGGTGCCGGGTGATTTTTTATAATCCAGTACTACCCAGATTTCCTTGACCACTGAACTCCTTTGTTCTTGGAACATCCGGCAACAGCAAAGCACGCTAAAGGGAGCTGGCCTGTGTGTTTTAGTTCCACCCCTTCCACGTCTCTGTCCAACTTGGTCAGGGTTGGGGTTTGAAGCATCCTCTGTTTCAAGGTCACTTTGGACATACCTCTCTGCTCTTTTCTTACTGGTGCCATCCCACAGCCAGGCCGTCACCCCCTCACGAACAAAGACTCCAATTGTGTCTCAGACCCTGTGAGTTCAATGCCTCCCCCTTCCTACCACGGTGCTGTTATAGAAGCCACGAATTCCTTGGAGGCACGGCATATACATGATTCATCTTTGCAGCCCCATGCCCCAACACCTGCCATTCAAGAAGTGCTTCTGGATCTGAAGGGCTCTGTCCACCATACTCGTGAACCCTGAGGGAGGGATGCTTTGCTCAGAGATGTTAAGATCTCAGGGATCTTAAAAAGAGCCGGGATTTTAAAAGAGTAGATCTTTCTGATGATAGAGCCCAATTCTTTCCACTCACGGAGTCGCCCAGGTACACGGCAGGCAGTTAGTGCTGTTACCCCCTGAAGAAGCGAGGAGCTGCAGATGGTCAGCACCTGGACGCTGTCACTCCTGTGCCCTCACAGCAGCTTTTCAAGGGGCTTTTGCTATAGTTTCGAAGAGTTTTCAAAAGTGTAACATTTCCTCCCTCTCCCCACAGAAGTTCCTTTAGAGAAGTCAGAAGAGGTAGGCTGCTTTTTCATCTTCTTACCACCTGTCTTTGTTTTTCTTCCCTGACACCAGCCATGTGTGGCCTAAAAACTGGCCTGTTCATGCCCCCCCCGCCAACAGTAAGCGGCGGACAGGAGTGGGTCAAGGTCCTGTTGCATAGGGATGCCAGCTCCTCTGGAAGCAGAGGTAATAAAGACCATGCACTTAGCAGAAAGGATAAAAAGGACCCATCAACTGCAGCAGCAGAATTCTCGATCACACCCTGGCCTGTTGATGAGAAATCAGCCAAAAGACAATGGACTCCTCGCGGTTGCAGGACTCAAAGGCCAGCTATCTACTCTTTCCCTTCCTAGAGGGAGACGAAAACCACTTTTGTGAACACTCCCAATCTCCAAGAATCTGGGGTTATTCTCTGTAGTCTAGTCTGCAAATGCCATAGGTGGACTAAAGAACAGGCATGCAAAGAGGTCCCATCATCCCGAACACAAGCACACAGATGTGGAGCTGTGGATGGTGCACAGGACAGAAGCGCAAGGAAGCACAGCCAGCTCCGGGTGCTCTGAAAGCGACTGTCTCCTTTCCAGACCTCTCGCTGTGACTGACAGGTCCCCTGGCACTCTGCTCCGGTGATGCTGAACTACAGACCTGGGGCCTGGCTGGCCACCAGGGGACAGACCAGGAGGATGAAAGTCTGTTTATCTCCCCAACATCACAGCTAACTCAACGGTGGGATTTTCAGCTGTTTAACTAATTTGTCCCCTGGAGTAAGGCAGCTGCCAGAAGTCCCAGGACAAGAAAGTACATTAGCGAAACATATCTCTAAGCAGTGCCATTCAACACGGGCTCTGTGCAGAAAAGAAGCCCTCCTCCCGCCCCCCCCTCCCCCCGCCATAACCAGCCAGGTGTAGGAGGTCACATGTACTCTGAAACTGAGGTCAAAAACCTATGTTTTGACTATGACATTTCTGAATTGAGATTTCTAACTTTCGTGCTTTGGGTAACTAGAAATTTTATGAAACAGAAGATTCTATTCAATTCAGAAAGACGCTTGTTTAAGGGCAGAAAAGCCCACTTCTAGGGTCAGGCTTGGCTCCCCCTCCCACCTCAACTGCTCAGCACTTCGGCTTTGCCAGTGGGCTTATCTCCAGGAGAGCAGGGCCGACGGGCACAGCCCCTTCCTACCAAAAATGACCGCAGCTCTGTTGGGGACTGCCAGGTGCAGCCATTACAACCAGATACAAATGTGGAGGACAGCCTACTCTTGACATGAGACTACCCACTAATTAGGTTATAATGCTCTGTTAAGACCAAGAGGACTTGGGATATATGGTATATACGTATCATTCCTGTAACATGAGTACAGCCAACACTTAAACAAAAATTGGTATGAATGTTATACTTTTAACTGTACTCACACCTTTTCCTGTAATACATACTTAAGTGCTGGGTTTTTGGCTTTTTCAACTTATCTTAAAACTCTTCTTACTTAATTATTGCCTAAATAGAAACACCTTTCTCAAAATGTATTAGGTGAAACAGTAGCCTGCCTAAGCTGCCAGGACATTCTCTCCTTATTCAAAAGGCAATCCAAGGGCGCCTGGGTGGCACAATCAGTTGAGCATCTGACTTCAGCTCAGGCCATGATCTCACACTCATGAGTTCGTCAGGCTCTGTGCTGACAGCTCAGAGCCTGGTGCCTGCTTCGAATTCTGTATCTCCCTCTCTCTCTGCATTCCCCCACTCACACTCTGTGTCTGTCTCTCTCAAAATAAATAAACATTAAAAAAAAAAAAAGGCAATCCATCCTGATTAAGCTTGGAAACAGATGTGTGTGTGTGTGTATACATACATATGTGTGCGTGTGTGTGTGTGTGTGTAGTAAATGTTGATATGTAAAATATATACCTAAAAAGGACTTACATGCCATATATATACACACATATATGCCCACACCTGCATATATAATACAAATACATAATGTATAAAATAACATACTTTACATATATCCCTTTTTGGGAATTCACAGAAAGGCAATAATAAAAATATATGATATATGCCTACTTAGGGATCACAATAGATATTAGTATAGTAAAAGCTCTGAGAAATCCTCCAGTTAAGAAACACCATTAAATACCTGGCTGGCTTGGTCAGGTGTAGGGATAAGAAAGGGGGGGGAGGGAGGGAGGGAGGGAGGGAGGGAGGGAAGGAGGGAAGGAAGGAAGGAAGGAAGGAAGGAAGGAAGGAAGGAAGGAAGGAAGGAACCAACCAACCCAATTAATGTGAACTTATAAAACAGAACCTCTTCCACCCCACACCCATCGCTGTCCCAGAGCAAGGGTCTGGAGAAAGTGCAAACTGGAAACCCTGGTCCAGAAGGCAGCTGTGCAATGGATATGCATGCAGAGCAGGAAAAGTGGTCAGTTCCAAAGGTGGGGATGGCGGGGCCAGGGGGGCGGGGCAGTGAGGGCGGGGCCAGGGGGCGGGAGGCCTGAGGAACTCCTCACGCATTACGAAATCTACCCAAAGCATAGGTCCAAACTCTCGCGAAGGATACACTAAGAAATAATAAGGCTCTTTAGGAAGGAAAATGACGTTCTGGGGGCAAAAGCCGACTTGCTCGTCGATTTTTTCTTTCTTTAAACACATGCATGTATTTTTTTTCTGCTGTATATTTTAGGATTTACAATGTATGTGATACTGTCATATGGCTCAAATTTGAAAACATTAGAAGGGGCTTTCTGGAGAGTCTCCTTCCTACTGCAGCCCCCACCCAGCAGCTCCCCAGAGGTCACTGATGCTATCGATTTCTCGGGCAGCTACACAGAAACGTGTTAGGTATTTATGAGCAAACCCTTTCCCCCAATTTAGTAGTGCTGTCTGTCTGCACTGTCTTTAGACATCCTTCTGCCTCGACACACAAAGTGCCTGGTTCTCGTTCCTGGCTCTGTGGCACCCCAATAGCCTGCGCGACCCAACAACTCCTCCACCGGCAGCATCTGGTTGTTTGTTTTTTTGTTTTGTTTTGTTTTGAACAAACAATGTGAGAACGAAGTCTTCTACACTGGTTATTTTGCGTTTTTGTGATTAGATCCGTGAAATACCCCTCTAGGAGAACGCTACCATGTAACTTGGACAGATATCATCAAAGTGCCCTCCTGCAGAGGCCACTTCAGTTCACATTCTCAGAAGTGATACATACGAGGGCCCAATTCCACACACCCTCAATGAGGGCTCATCAAACCCTCTGGTCTTTAACAATCTGAGTGAAAAATGCATTAGTGAACTTTTAATTTGCACATCTCTGTATGAGTGAGACAACACATCTTTTCATACATTTGTAAGACAGATGATTTCATTTTCTAGGAAATATCCGTTCATATTCATTTTTCCATTGGGCTATTCATGTTTTTCTTATTTATATGTTGAAGGAGGTCCTGACATTTTAGAGAAACAAGCCTACCTTCTGTGCTTCAAACTGCAAATACTGCAAAAACTCGTGTTTTTCATTCATGTATAGTAGGCTTTGCCATGCAGAACATGTTTATGAGTGGATGTGCATGCATGTAAATTTATTAAATTTCA